TGTGATGTGCCCAGTGTGGGTACTCAGGGCACTCCAAGCCAGGACTGCTTTGCAAGCGGGGCACCCCTGAGAACTGTCTGTCCAGGGTGGGGGTCGGGACCCTTTAAGCGCAGCTCTCGGCTAGCCTGAGACAGCATCTCCACACTCCGGGCACTCCAAGCCAGGACTGCTTTGCAAGCGGGGCACCCCTGAGAACTGTCTGTCCAGGGTGGGGGTCGGGACCCTTTAAGCGCAGCCCTCGGCTAGCCTGAGACAGCATCTCCACGCTCTAAGTCCTCCTCTGATGCCCTGCTGGCACTGCTTCCGGCCATCCTTAAGTCTGGTTCAGGGTCCACTTAATATGGACATGCTAGTTCGAATTAGCAAAACGTTAATCCGAACTAGTTTTTTAGTCTAGATCCGTTAGTTCGAATTAGCTTAGTTCGAATTAACTAATTCAAACTAAGTTAGTTCGAATTAACGTTGTAGTGTAGACGTACCCTCTCTCTTCTGTTGTCTAGCTCCTCAGGAGAAAAATACATATACATTTGCATGCTTCTGATACTGTGTTTAATTTTAATATATTTACTTAGTGACTTTGGAAAAAAAATTGTTGACCTGAAACTCCATGGCCAATAAAAATACTTTTAAAGATTTAATTCCTAGAGGATTATGTTTTTATATAAAACTGTAATGTCTATTTGCTGTTCTTGAATGTATAAACACACACACTTAGGATGTGAGTACTGGTAAACAAAAAAATGAGCTTTTTTGGCACTACGGAGGCAAATACCGATGTGAAAAATATAAATGTGTATAGAAAGGGATGCTATTTCTTATTGCAGTAATTGGTATGTGTCATTTATGCTTGTGAAATGTCATATACATTTTATAGAAAGTTTGACAACCTGATGAGTAACATACAGTTCTACCATGTATAAGAAAAAGTCGTATTTTGATCTTTTGATTTCTCGTTGACCCAAAGAAGAAGCATTAGTTGAGGGAGCAGGTGAGAAGTTCTTTGAGCTATTGCAGTGTCAATTTGTTGATTATTGGTGGAAAACTGGGTTGTGAAGAAGGCATCATTCGTGTCTTCATGTGGAAATTGCTGCTGAGATACGGACCTAATGTGTGTCAGGAATGATCTTAAAATGCCATGGCTGTGCCTTTTTCTAGCCTGAGAAATCAAAAATACAATCTCTTATGGAGTCATGCATTTTAAAACTTTGGATTCATCTTGCTTAACTTGTGCTTCTGAGTTCCTCATTGTATCAGCATACTTACAGAAATGATAGTTTGTGGGAGGCTGACCTGATGAGGAGTACAAAAGGGCATTTGTATAGTGTTGAAAGAAACAGAGGTGGGAATGATGGAACATACATATTCACATTTTGTGACCAACCGAAAACCCTTCTGTTTCCACAGGGGAAGATAAATACAATATTTACTCCAGCTTATTGTTCAAGTATTTTCTCGCAGAGGGAATAGTCTGTGGACATAATTTGTTTGTTGCTTCTGCTAAAGAGGATCCTGCTGACATTTTAAAGGTAAAAAAAAATGATACATTAGATTATAATTAATCCAATTTTTTTACAAATCTGTTTACAAATTAGTTAATCCAATTTTTTTACAAATCTGTTTACAAATGATTAATCAGCCCCGCCCAATCAGTCAGCTCCTGAGCCTGACTGGCTGGAATGATTAATCACCTGTGAAGCTGTGCTGCCACACAGTTTAGAGGGAACACTGATATATATGTAACTACATTGTACACACTGATTTGTTAATCCAGGAATTATATTGCTTACATTTTCATCTATCTGTTCAAAAGGGTACTTAAGCTAATTTCAGAGTACATAGTTTGAAAAACAGTTAAGTGAATCTCTCACAATTACATAGCTGATGCTTCCTGTGTTTATATCTAGGAAACCTGAAATTTAAATACTATGGAGACATCTTGAAATATGTAGATTTTGACTGATGTATTCAAACAAGAAGCTTAGAGCTCTCTTTCTAGTATAAATATTTTATAATGGTTAGTCATTTTTAATGTGATAGATAGACAAAAAAGGTAAAGGGACACTGACTGTTTTTAAATTTCATTTTTCTAAAAATGATGGTTCTATTATAATAATACCTAAAATTACTATTTTGCCAAGTTTTTTCTCAGTTGAAGCAATCAAACTGGGGGAAAAGAACCATAGGAGTTTGGGGCAGCAGATTTTATACAATTTTTGCCACTGCTTAAAAACTCGAGTTGTTCTCTTGCTAAAAAGTTCTTTATAGACATCAGAAAAGGTGCACAAACTTTCATAAATGCTGCACCTGTGCTTCTGCTATGTGTATCTTTCTTGAAGTGAATTATTTATATGTTTATGTGTCAGTGACTCTATTTAGGGATTGATCCTGAAATGTCCTGTGCACACTGTTCTTGAATCTTCAACAGTCTTTCAGGTAGTTTTGGATAGAGGCCCTTTCCTGTGGAACCTCTGAGCTTCACAGGCCTGGAATTCACCAAAAAGTCAAAGGTTGGAGGATAGTAAATATGACCTTTATCGCTGGGGGTGAAAGTTGCCAGAGTTTTTGCTTAAATGTTACATCATTTGTACTCATTTTCTGTCCATCATTACAGTAATTAAAAATATAGCTATCAGAGCTCTCTTACCATTAACTATTTTTAATTTTATATTTCAATGTTATATGTCAGCTCATGTTGTTCTGTACTACCCTTGATTTATTAGACATGCGAGGGAGGGTTATGGAAAACATGGATTCTTCAAAGTCAACATTTATCTTCTTTACCAAGGGATTTTCATTTGAAGTCTAGTTCTATTTGTGATTCCTAGAAATAAACAACATTAGAAATATTCCCTTGAATGCATTTTGATGGGGGTCTCAATTTAGGATCTTGATATTTAGTTTCTTTTAATTGTATTCCAGTATTCATATAACTTAAGAATTTTGGTTAATGGAGCTTCAGATAGTGTAGGGATTATAGAATTGCACAAAGAGTACAGTCACTGGAAAGACCAAGATTTTAGCTTTCTTAAATCATGAGTTACATAAATTGTGTTAGTTTTCTTTAGATAAAATTCAGACAATGAGTTCAGAATACTATAGTTTAAGTAATAATAAACTATTGCATCTTAAAAACTTGTTAATAGGAACTAACCCAACCAATGAGTGACCGAAACAAGGACATAGATGGTTTGAACATACAGTGCAATGTTATATGCTGTAATTGCCCATGAAATTGCATTAATTTCATGATATATGATTGGGTGTTTCTTGAACCTATAACCAAGACAAATATTGCTGGTACTAGAAAGGGGAAAAGACACTCCTACAGAGCATAATTATCTTAAAGCTGTGTATAACTAAAAGACAAGGAGAGGATAAAAAGCCCCATCAGCTGCCTAAGATATGTTATATTACCACCCAGCAATTTATCCATCATCCTTTCAAAACATATTCATGCCTATTGTAGTGAAAGATCCTTCAGGAAGTCAGCATTAAGATGTAACACTGAAAAATTACACCCCTTTAGAAAATCCTATAGAACAATATACATTATGATTTTAATGGGATATTTTAAACATTTCAGAGCATTCTGTTCAGTCAGTACACTTATCTAAAAGACAACTCTCCACCATAAGTAAATGTAGAAAGTGTTAGGAGTTTGCGTTTAAAGTAATCCATAATCAATCTTCTCTTCCATTTTATAAGAAATTGTAAAATAAAAGACTGAGCCAAACCCGTGTTAGACTTGATTACAGTGGGAATATGAAATTGCTATTTTACATTTTAATTTGTTTAATAAAATTTGTTACTGAAAATGAATAAAGTTAGGCATGAAATTAAAGTTTAATATGTAACTGTGGCAAAACATGAAATGTTTTATTTTATTTCTTAGACCTTTTTTCTTAATGTCAGTGTGATTGCCACATTATAAAATACAATTTGTTTATTCCTCTGATCTGTATAACATTTGCACAGGGGGAAGAAAGACTTTTAAAAAGTAAGCCATTGTTCAAATATAAATCAGTGGATGGAGCCATCTTGGAGGTCATAGATTCAGGCCAGCAGCAGTAGCTGTTGAACTTGTGTCCATAAAAATTTCATCACATACTGAGGAAAGAGAAAGATGTGAACCAGTTAGGAGGTAACCCTTCCCCACAGTGATCTTCAGACACAGAACTTTGCAGGAGAGACAACCCTTCCCTACCTCTCACTTGGGATGTTAGCATATAGTTGAGTAAATGATTAACCAGTAAGCCTAGGCATATCGGCTACATGCACTCCCCACCTTTGCTGCCTCTATATCAGAGTTAGTGGGGGGAGGGAGTGGGAGCCAGTGCCTGTGAGGAGCTGGATTTAAGCAGGCTCCCTACAAGCACCAGATCCACCTGCCCCACGCACCCTTGCACTGCTGCCTCTAGCTGCTGGCCCCACCCCCTAGGATATTAAATAGTCTAGGGATTTTAAAATTAGATAAATCAGCTAATTGAATAGTTGATGGAATTTCCATTGACTATTCGATTAGTCAGTAAGGTGCATCCACTTTGAAATGCAGCAAGAGCCACCCGGCTATTGCTACATTTGCCACCCGGCTATTGCTACATTTCAAAGGCAGAAGTGCTGTGCAGCATTTTGGAATGCCACTGCTGCACCCCTGCCCCCTCCCACCAAGCTGGAGCTAGAGGGAACTGGCTTTTAAGCTGGCTCTTCACAGCACCCCCTTTTCTCTCTCTCTCCTCCCTCCCGCTGCCTCTTTCTGATAGAGGCAGCAAGGGGGGGAAGTGACTAGTCAACTAGTGTGTTGACTATGCAATATGCTTTTGGTTATCAGACAACTAGTCAATTAATCACTTACAATATTATCAGTTACACAACTATTCTAGGGATGTATGTAAATATGCTTTTGGTTATCAGACAACAAGTCAATTAATCACTTACAATATTATCGGTTACACAACTATTCTAGGGATGTATGTGGTTACGCGACTATTCAGTTACACAATATCTAACATCCCTACCTCCTATTATAGAGATATTAGGATTCTACATTTTCCCCCTTATCCATATGGACACAATAAAGAAAAAAAATACATTATAAACCCAGTCAGGGACACTACTGCAGAAATATGTTCAGATGCAGGCATATTTGGACACAGATGATATCATCCAGCAGTGTTTTGTACAGTTCTGCTCTCATTGTTCTTCTCATGTGCCAACTGGCTACATGCTCCATCCCCTTCCAACCGCTCCCTTACAGTCACTTTTCTTCAGACTAGATTGACTTGTCTTTAATGCTTCTTTCCATCCTTCCTTTCTTCTCCTCCACTTTCCCTCTCACATTCCTTTCCCCTTCCTTTGTTTTTTCCCCTTTATCTTATTCCTTCCTGTCTTCCCCATCCTTCCCTAAATATATTTAATGCATATAATAAAATGCAAAAACCCAAAATGCATCAACATTAAAATAACCCCCTCTCTAAAAATAGCCCATAAATGTCAGTTCCTTATGGATTCATTAAAAAAAAAATCCTAAAGCTTGTAATGTGGTAATTGGTGAATAATAGAATAGGTCAAGATCCATTTGCTTTAGTACTTTTTCAGTAGAGGCAATGGATGCTCCAGGGCAAGAGAGTCTCGGAGGGCTGATGGCTAAGAGCCCAGCGGGCTGTCAGGGAAGAGGGCTATGGGCAGCAAACTACCAGCAGTAGGAGCCTGGCTCCCCACAGCTTGGCTGCAGAGCATGCCCCAGCAGGGTTGCCTGGTAGCGTGGGGAGCCCAGTGGGCTGGGAGCTGGGCTGCCTGGCATGAAAGGCAAAGGGGGAAGGGATCTGCAAGACAGGGAGGGAGCCGGCTAGCAGCTGATCCAAGGGGGGGGAGCAAATGTGATCTCCTCTGGACCACCAAAATCCCTCATCTGAGACTGGTCAGGTCCCGAGGGTGCCGAACCAGGGAGGTCTATCCTGTATAAAAGAAATTAAGAATGAACTGGTACAAAATTGTATCAAATATAGTTTAAACTGTTTATAGGATACAATCTTATCAAGTGGTGATATGATAGCGTAATCATGTGAATGAGTAACTGGTGAGCCTGAACTCATTGATTAACCTTCACGGTTACACGCAGGCTCCTCTTCTCCTGCTGCTGCCTCTGTATTAGACGCAGCAGCACAGGGGGTCAGGTGGGAGCCATGTGGAACTTTTGAGCCAGTGTGTAGGTTTTTGAGCCAGGTCCCCATAAGCATCAGCTCATGGGGAGCTGCCTGCCCCTCCCCCCACTACTGCCTCTGATACAGAGGTAGCATCGTGGTGTGGGGAACACAGCTTTGTGGGAGTTTCCTCCTCCATGTAAATGTGTAACCACTGAAGTTTTCAGCAGTTACACGTTTATCTTAAATGCATTTTAACATCCCTATTATCATGTCCCCATCTGTCAGATTCTTTTGTGCTGTACATTTTCTAGCCTCTGTCACTATGTTCTAAATGTTCAAAGTCATGTCATCTTCACTTATATTCCTTTTCAGAATTATCCTAT